TTCAGAATCGTGCCAGAACGCCAGTCTTGGGATTTCAACACCGCGAATCAGCGTAACTGTTGCGCCCTCAGAATCCTGAATCCTTCCAACACCATGTCTGGTACGCTGATCATGGGAGCCCGTGAAACTCTTGCAATGTGTTAGAACGAATGTGCGCGGCGCTAATGCGAGAGCCACATGTTCAAGAGGAACCGCCCTCAATCCGCCTTAGCGAGAAACGAGAACAACTTTTTGAAAAGGAGCCGCCCTCAACCCGTGAAGGTCTTACAATTTTTTGCGAAGAATGTGCGCGGCGCTAAAGCGAGAACCACACTTTGAAGACGACCCGCCCTCAATCCGTGAAACTTCTATGACTTTTCAAAACGAAAGTGCGCGGCGCTAAGGCGAGAGCCACATGTTGAAACATTTTGAAAACCACCCGCCCTCCATCTGTGAAACTGTTGTCAGCGTTTAAGCTTCAGGGTCATAAATGGTGATTAAGTCTCAGGCAAAACGCCCGCACCGCCCTAACAACTTGCCTCGGGGTACGACAGGGAGGAATTACTTCTAAGGAAAAGGAACGGAGGGCCACGGGGCCGTCCACAGCACAAGGCAGGAGGACACGACGGGCCCCAGAAAAGAGGTCCAGACCTCTGGGGAGGCTGCGGGCCCGCTGCCCTTTCTACAGGCCTGGGGCCACGCCCTCCTCAGCCCGCCTCGGCCACTCGCTGGGGTGGGAGGGGGGGCTCCGCTTCGGCGCTTCGGCACGGGCACCTGCCCAGCCTCCCTCCCAGACCCCCGACGTCATGAATGTCTTCTTGACCTCACGAAGGTCTGGACCCCTTCCCAAGGACCGGTGTTTCATCCCAGGTTGTTTTTCGACGGACGGTCCCGAGGCCCCGCGAGGGCCCCTGTAGAACGAACTCTGCCCAAACGAATCCGTCATGATCTTTTCACCGCTGGAGGAGGTCTGGGCTAATGTTAGGTCGGGCGTGTCCCCCTACAGGCAGATTTCTAAAATAGACAAAAATACATACAGTGTTCTAAAATACTTAAAAAATCGTCCGCGGATTTTTTTGCCTATTCTTGAATTTTCCTCCTGTAGAGGGACACGCCCCACTTAAGGCTAATGGCACGGACCCGCTGCAACTTCACGAGCCTGGCCTCCTCGACATATGGATAATTCGACGCCGTCGCTCTGGACACGCCATCCCGCACGAACAATCGAAACATCAACCTGGTTATTCAAAAAACATCTGAATTAATCATGCGTGCAACGGCGACTGGGGAGCCCACATTGCACCGCTAGGCTGTATGATAACGCTCGGAGCATTGAGACCTCACCTCGCCACTGTACCCCCCGCTGGTGAGATGGCAATCTAGACAATTGTGCGATTGATGCATCGGACACAGAGGCAATCCAACTTGCCGCGTGAGAGTCGAGCCCACTGCGTTGCGCCAATGTTGCAGTGCTTATTGCCAACCCCCTCTGGGCGCATCGAGACTGCCCGAGCTGGGATACATGCAACAAATCAGCGCTCGTTCTGCCGAGCAGCTATCAACGCGTCGCTTCAAGCTGGGTAGACAATATTGGATACGTCAGATCTGCCGGAGCCGCTTGAGCGCAGCGACTAATATTATGATGAACCCAGCGTGACCTAAATTAGGGCGCTCTTTCTTCCAGAACAACTCAAAACAGTTCTGACCCATGTAAAGCAATGCAATGCTTCGCATTGCTTGGCATTGCTTGGCATTGCTTGGCGATGCTCGGTGTTGCTTGGAATAGTTGCTTGCCATTGCTTTGCACTGCTTTGCACTGCTTGGCGTTGCTTGGCGTTGCTTGGCTTTGCTTAGCGTTGCTTTGCCTGGTTTTGCATTGCTTGGCGCTGCTCGGCATTGCTTTGCATCGCTTTGCGGTGCTTCGCATTGCTTTGGATTGATTGGCATTGCTTGGCGTTTCTTGTCACTGGTTCGCATTGCCTGGCATTCTGTAACCAAGCCAGGCAGACCCCCGCAAACACTGCGGAACGTCGGGCATCTGGGCAACGTGGTAATCTGGGGAACCCCAGGGCGGCCGCCTCTCACCGAAACCACGTCGGACCCGCCGGCCCCTCAGGCGAGCCTAACTCGGGAACGAAGCCAAAGCATGCTCTAACGACACCACGGCTGTTTCCTGCAGTCGCATCCCTGCAGTACCCCTCTGCGGTCGACCACGCCGCGTCACACGGGCGACGAAAACGGATGTTTGAGTGGCATGCCCTGCGTAGAGGAAGAACAAGCTGCACGAACGTACACTCTCGACGGTCCGCGCGGAGCTCCGAAAATCTATGCTGATGCACGTGCTTCTCTTTCTCGACCGCACTGCCACAGCCTGGCACGCGTGCCCGGACTCGCCCCTCATCGTCGTCCGGCCCGACCGCCTCGTCCCGCCCTCGGCGGCGGGGGCCGCATCGAGCGGCAAGCAGCAGACAGCCATCGTGCTAACATGAGGATCGCTGGATAAGGAACCATACGCGCCGTCAAAACACACTTTTACAGCAGCGTCGTTGATGCTTCAGCCGCATGCGCCATTCCCTATTTTTCTTACATCAGCGGTGGACAAACCTCCATTTAGCAAACCACCCTTTAGTGCAAACGGCCTAGGACCGAAGCCGACGGACCTGGACCCGCAAAAATGACGGCCGCGACGCCCTCTCGCGAACCGAAAACAGCCAATTCGCTAGTCGACGTGTCAGAGTAGGAGGTCTGTCAACCTCCGATGACATTTGGCTGCAGTTTCGGCTCGAAGGGGTTTGACGGCGGCCAAGCGCCTGCCTTCTCGAGCCCTGAAGGCCACTGAAGCCTTTCGGGCGCTCCGCGCGCCCGGCACCACGGCGCGGATCGGTCCAGTGGGCCGCGCCCCGGCGCTGGCGGTGCCGGCTTCGGAGTGGGAGAGCTTCGCCCCGGGCTTCCTCTCCGAGGAGGCCGAGGAGGAGGAGGAGGAGGAGGAGGAGGAGGAGGAGGAGGCCGACGGCGAGTCCCTCCTCTTCGTGCCCCCCTGCTGGAGAACACACGCAGCTCTGCAGGGCCCCCGACGGCCCGCGGAGCGCGGCCGCGCCGCCGCGCGCCGCGCGCCGCGCCCCACGGCGCGCCCGGCCGGCCTCCCGGGGAGCGCCGCCGCGGTGCCGGAGAGGCCGACCTCCGACCCGCGGGGGCCGCGGGGAGCGCGTGCCGCCCGGAGGCAAATGAGGAGGAGGAGGGGGAGGGGGGGGAGGGGGAGAGGAGGAGGAGGAGGAGGAGGAGGAGGAGGAGGAGGAGGAGGAGGAGGAGGAGGAGGAGAGGAGGAGGAGGAGGAGGGAGGAGGAGGAGGGAGGAGGAGGAGAGGAGGAGGAGGAGGGGGAGGAGGAGGAGGGAGGAGGAGGAGAGGAGGAGGAGAGGAGGAGGAGGAGGAGGAGGAGGAGAGAGGGGGGAGCAGGGAGCACATGAAGTGACGCGCCGAATCAGGATGGAACGCGGACGAGAGCAGCAGGAAAAGGTGAGAACGCACAATCACGCCCAGAAAGCAGAAGACACAGGTGAGACAACTTACCGTACGGCACGACACCCGAGCACATCCTCACCTCCGACCAGGGGCCTGGACAGGGCAATGACATCCAAGGATAAGAAGCCTGTTCTGGTGGTGAACGAAGATGGGACCTGACCCGATCAAATATCCGAGCCACGCCGCGACTACACGAGTTAAACAAATAATCGAATCTATAGCCCTAACCACTGCAACAGGGTGCCGTGTTTCCGTCCTGGTTGCGGGTGACGGCCAGAAGCGAAGTTATCTCGGCGCCACCTGCGCCGAGGGATACCTTTCAGCACGGACGGGTCACACAAACAAAGAAGTCGAGACCGGGCTGCACGCTTGGAGAATGACCCGCACGTCGTGCAACCTATTACTTCGCCTGCTCTCTCTCTCTCTCTCTTTTTCTTTGTCTCTCTCTCTCTCTCTCTCTCTCTCTCAATATGTATATATGTATATATATATATACATATATACACAAGATGTGACTACTGGCAGCCTCGGGGGAACGATGCCTTCGCACGGGAGCACCATGCCGACAGGAACCGCGGTAGCGCTGCCGTCAGCCGAAGAGGTGCTTCTCCGAATCGGTGCCGACAGGCCCGATGGCGGCGGCCGCCTCACGGACGACCCCTTGGGGCCTTGGCTCGGACCCGGCCCGAGGTTGCACCCGCCGGGTAGAAGGCTCCGCCGACTCCTCCAGGGGCCTGGCCAATTGCCTGGTAGGAGGAGGAGGAGGAGGAGGAGGAGGAGGAGGAGGAGGAGGAGAAGGAGGAAAGACGAAGAGGGGAGAGGAGGAAAGAGGAAGAGGGGGAGGATCCCCGAGGGAGGAGGAGGAGGAGGAGGAGGAGGAGGAGGAGGTAGAGGGGGGCTCCACCCTGGGACGGATCGACCTGGTCTGGTCCAGGTCCTGGGGTCCAGGAGCTGATGCAGAGGTCTCTTGATCCCCGCCTCGGACTGCGCAGAATTCGGCTCAGGCTCCCGTGGCCCCCCGGGGGCTGGCGGAGTCTGAGGGGGTCACGACTCCAGCAGGGACAGCGCAAACCTCTCTCACCATCACGTCGCTACCTCTGGCGGGTCTCGCGGAGCGAGGACAACTCACACATCTCCACGCACAGGGCGCGCTCATCGCAACATGGCATTGCTGGCGTCCCGCGTGCGGCGGCGGCAGCGGCGCCCTCCTCGCAGCCGCCTGCTGCGCAGCTGTTCGCGGTTGCGTTCCACGTCGTGGGCGCTGTCCTCTGCGTGCTCTGCATTCCGCTACGTCCGCGCGATCAGATCGATCTCCGAGCAGCTCCTGCGCGTTGCCGCTCCAGCGCGCGATCTGCCCGACCTCCTCGACCAGGGCCTCGTGTTGACGTCCGTCTTCAGGTGGGATGTCGTGAATGGCCAATCCTCGTGTGGTGGCTACGTCTACGTAGTCATTGCCCTTCTTGCCTTCATGATGAAGGGCATCCTCTTGCGTCTGGCGGACCTTCGCGTCGAAGATCGCGAGGTCGTCGCTCGAGCCGTCGTGGTCATCCAGCACCCTCAACACCTCGCGCCTGAGGTCCACGTTGGGGCGGCAAAGGTGGACGCACCACTACTCGCCGTAACGTGCGCCCTCGATCGTCGCCATGCAGCCGGTGTCGATGTGGATCGGCTGGGTGCCCTTCTTCGAAGCCATAGTGTCAGCGTAGTGCTCTGCTCGGGAACAGACAGCTGGTGACCTGGTAGCGGCCCGAGGGCCTGGCCTCTCTGCGTCTGACCATGCATCAAAGCCACGCCCCATCCTGCCCTAGCTCTTTCAGGCCCTTCAATGCGAGTGCGACCAGCCCCGTCGGCGTAGACATCTTCTATGATCTGGTGGCGTTGGCCGCCGCGCAAGTGGTGCCAGGACTCATGACGGCGAGGAGGCTGCGCTGGTGGTAGTCGGTCTCGCGGTCGCAGGGCACGCGTGTCTCGCATATCGTTTGGATGCGCCTGCTGCCCTCCGCGATGATGTGCCGTTCGACTGCATCGATCCTCTCGGCCTCCAGGTTGGGGCACACCCAGAGGCGGTGATGGAGCGTGCCCGCCCGAGCAGCGAGAACTTGCGCCTGGAGGCCCTCGGGAGAGTCAATGGACATGCGATCGTGAGGTTCTCGAGCAACTTCCAGCGTGGCACACTTGTGACGCCCCGGGGGGAATTCGGCGGCGTAGTCGAGCCGCTGCGTCACTTTCAACAGAGCGTCCGGGAGCAACGGAGATTCGAAGATGCGCCGAGAGATGCGCCGTCACAGTCGGTGTCGTGATGCCGCTGCCGCGAGACTACCACCTGCGCGACGTGATCACTCGTTTGACCGCTGGCCAACTCCTCGTGGGCGCTAATCACGCAGGGGGGAGCCGATAGTCGAACAAGGCATCCATCTCGGCCCGCTGATCCAAGAATCTGTCGATGGCAGGTGCCGCGTGAGCGGAGGAGGAGGAGGAGGAGGAGGAGGAGGAGGAGGAGGAGGAGGAGGAGAAGGAGGAAAGAGAAGAGGAGGAGGAGGAGGAGGAGGAAGGAGAGGAGGAGGGGAGGGGGGGAGGAGGAGGGGGGAGGAGGAGGAGGAGGAGGAGGGAGGAGGAGGAGGAGGAGGGAGGAGGAGGAGGAGGAGGGAGGAGGAGGAGGAGGAGGAGGAGGAGGAGGAGGAGGAGGGAGAGTAGGAGGAGGAGGAGGAGGAGGAGGAGCACGTTCGTCGTGGCGCGCAGCACCTTCACTCGAGGCGTCGGCCACCGGCGCAGCCAGCCGCCGCCGCGCGGAGGCGGCCTGTGCACGTCGGCCTCTGCCCCCCACCTCGGCGCGCTCACGCAGATTTAAGTCGGGCCTGTCCTTCCTAGCTCCCCCCCTCCTCCTCCTCCTCCTCCTCCTCCTCCTCCTCCTCCTCCTCATCCTCCTCCTCCTCCTACAGGGGGGGTTTTCGACGGAAAATAAAAGAATACCCTAAAACTGCTCCAACATGGTCCAGAAAGATTCCAAAAATAGTCCCCAGACTATTTTTGGACTACTTTTGGGTCTTCCCCCTGTAGAGGGACAGGCCCGATTTCAATGCAGATGAAGAAGTCGCGGAAAGGAGATTGCACATTTCATATCGCCATGAAGGATCTCAGTCCACGAAAATTGTGACCGAGCGGCAGTCGAGAGGTCAGCGCGCACCTTCGGAGAGATCATCTGCACCTGCTGGAGATCAGTCCGTGGTCGTGGACATTGTAATGTATGATCGTCTGTCGAGTGGTGCGGATATTCAAGCGCAGAACACGGACAGGGACCACCTCCGACTTCGTGGTGTCGGCTTAACAGGTAGCAGGGATAATGGTCGCAACGCAACTTTTGATGCAAGAGTGGCAATATGAAATACAAGCTCGAAGCCCCCGCTGGACCTTCTGAAGGAAGTGGCGTAGTTGGCCATGCTGTGATGTAGTTGCTGAAGTCCCACAATCCCGCTCTTGAAGCTGATGCGCTTGAGATAGTTCGGTTTCTTCTGTGCCTTGGCGCCTGCGTATTTAAGAGGGGCCGCGATCGTTTGCGCAAGCTGCTCCATGCGCTGCCGACTTAGCTGAAGCTTGGCGGTGAGGTCGTTGCCCCACCGGAAGTCTGTCTATTGAGGTCACACTGCGTGCTGTCTGCTGGTTCTGCACGAAAGGGTCTCCATTACCCATGGTCGAGACGTTGAACGTCGAGTACTTTGACCACTCGGCCAGCCACTGGTCCAACAGCGCCACTGAACTTGACCGAGAAGTAACGCGATACATGTTCTGCTGGTTTAGTGTCAAAACTGGTGGTTTGCACTCCCAAAGCGGTGATCCAGTCCGCGAAGCACTGCTTGACATGGCTAATGACAACAGCACTGCTCCGCGAAGCCTGCTCGATCAGGGCAGCGACAAGGTTGGCAACATTGCCCCCGCCCGTGGTGGAGACGACGGAGGAGAGATGTTCGAGGAAAGGCTGGCGGGTGGACTTGAGTTGCTCAATGACCTGCGTGCGCACGAGCTGGCCAAGGTACGCGTCGTTGTCTTTATCATCGTCAGGCATGCCAAGTTCATCTTCTTCAGGCCGAACGCCTTGTCGAGGGTCGCCAGAACCAGCACTGCCAGCACCAGCCAGTTCTGGAGTGGGGTGATATTCTTCTTCTTCTTCTTCTTCGTATTACTATTCTTACTATTATTATTCTGCCTCTTCTTCCTCAGAAGTTGGTCAGCATGGGCGCGGGGGGTGTCAGGAGCGCGGCGCCGACCTTTGAGCTTCTTTTGGCTGTGGGCCCCAAGGCACCCTCGCTGAGAGACCGCTCGCCCAGATGGAGATGCGCAGGTCGGCTGGCAGCAACGGGCAAGTCTACCGTTTACCCTCAAGGCCGTCTACGGGAGGTAAGATTTGCTCAGCCAGGAGCTCACTGACATGGGGAAGCATGCCGCGGACTAGCGGTATCCACTTCGCTTCCACAGAAACTTACATTTTGAACCAAAAAGGCCACGGAAGGAGGAGGAGGCGGAGGAGGAGGATGAGGAGGAGGAGCCGGAGGAGAAGCAGGAGGAGGAGGACGAGGAGGACGAGGAGGAGAGGAGAAGAAGGATGAGAAGGAAGAGGAGGAGGAGGAGGAGGAGGAGGAGGAGGAGGAAGGAGAAGTGTGAGGTGGAGGCGTTCTAGTAGTAACCATAATGCATGACCCCCTCTTACTGGATGGGGAAAACCGCCTCATCTTACGACTTGCGAGTGAAAATCAACAACAACTCATAGATCGTGCTTCGAACTTCATCTAGGACCCGGGACTTTTACTTGTGGTGCTGCAGTCACCACTACGACTACGGAGCCAGTCGCGAGCGACCAAGACAACACGATCCTAGCGAATGACACGCTCCCATGCAAGTGCGTGTAGCGTGAGAGGTATAGCAGCCCTCACAGATTCCAAGCCTCAGGGAGAACGGGTAGAGGAGAAACGCTGCAAAGACGCAATGGGAGCACGAACTGTGCGTGCCGATTTGAAGTGGGGACTGCATGCGGGCGTGGCCGCTGGGGCCGTAGCTGCGGCTCCCTATCGGCACGATGCGCGTGAGGGATGTACCGAATTGAAGCGGGGACGGCATGCGGGCGTGCCCACTGGGACCGTAGCTGTGGCTCCATTTTCGGCGCGACACGTGAGAGGGGTGTGCCGACTTGAGGCTGGGACTGCACGTGGGCGCGCCCACCTGTTGGAAGTGTGGAACGGCTAGCAGCGCAGCAGCAGCGGCAGGGAAGAGGAGGGGGGGGTGGAGGAGGAAAACGAGGAGGAGGAGGAGGAGGAGGGGTGGGGAGGAGGGTGAGGAGGAGGAGGAGAAGCAGGAGGAGGAGGCGGAGGAGGAGGAGGAGGAGGAGGAGGAGGAGGAGGAGGAGGAGAAACGGGGGGCAGGAGGAGGAGGAGGAGGAGGAGGAGGAGGAGGAGGAGGAGGAGGAGGAGGAGTGGGGTAAGGAGGAGGGCGGGAGGGCGGGAGGAGAATGAGGAGGAGAAGGAGGATGAGGAGGAGGGGGAGAGAGCATCAGGCAGGCGCGCGGCGCAGCGGCGACAAAGCGCGGGCCCAACTTAAAACAAACAATCTGGAGAACACTGGGCAGTAGCCGCAACCCCGACCGAGTCATCCCTGCACGGCCGGACCTAGGACAGACGAACATCCTTCAAGAACGTGATGCCCTCTGCCGGCCAAACTGAGGAACCCTCGAGGGTACCCTCCCCCCAGGACGCACAAGGACATCCAACAAACACGAAGAACATTAGGGTGCCCTCCCCGAACCGACCCCCATCTTCTATCTCGTTCCCACCGTAAACGCCAATGGGGACAAACATGCTTGCAATAATGGTGCACCTCCGTGTCGCCCTCAACGCCGCAGGCCAAGCAGCCCCAGAACGAATCTCAGAAACTGCTCGACACTCGCCTGGACCGAGTCGTTTGAGGAACACGCGCGAGCATAGAAATGTAGATCATGAATTTGCCATTCGCAAACACCGTCATAACTTGATCGCTTGGTCACAATGACGGTATTCCAACCCCATGTGCGTCCGAAAGGGACTTGGCAAACGCACGCACACACACGCACACACACAACACACACAACACACACAACACACACAACACACAACACACAACACACACAACACACACAACACACACAACACACACAACACACACGACACACACAACACACAACACACAACACACACCACACACACACACACACGCGCGAACGCACGCACGCACGCACGCACGACGCACGAACGCACGCACGCACGCACGCACGCACGCACGCACACACAGACACATCACCACACACCACACACCACACACCACACATCACACACACACACACACGGGAAACATCGGAAGCGTGTGCTGGCACCCGATCGTTATGCTCTAGAGTCGGACCAAACAACTCGCCGCAATTGTGCCTCGACTGATCTTGAACCCAACTTCTACGCTCGTGCTTGTGCACGCAATCCGCGCACAATCCGCAAAGAGTTGGCACTGACGATCGGCACATCTGTGTTATAATCGCGAGGACGCCCCGGCGATGACGTCATGGGACACATGGGCACACACTCGCTCCAGCAAACCTGCACGCTGGCTCGATGGAGCGAAACTCCCTCTCAAACTGCTGACATCCCGCGCCCCCGCAACCATGCTGTCCCCATGTTGCTTTTGAGAGGCCCGCTG